GAGAGAGAGAGAGAGAGAGAGAGAGAGAGAGTTACCTTTGGACCCTCTTCACCTCGCTGGCCCTTTGGTCCTCTGAGTCCTGGACCACCCTGGCAAACAGATGTTAAGTATTAGCACAAAGACACATCTTAAAGCAGTAAATTTCATTCATTGTCTTTAATAGTATGGATTATGTAATTCTTATTTTGTATAAAGGCCAAAACGTTTTGTAATGATATATGTTCATCTTGATCCTTAACTGGAAATTTACCACCCAGATCCAGCTCTCTCTGCCAAGGATTTCATAGTTTGAACAAACTTTCTATGCCAAATCCTTTTAAGTTTTTTTTAAAAATTATAGGATTTTTTTTTAATTTAGTGATATAAGACTATAGCTACTAATGGATATAAATAATAAAACATACCACTATTCTAAAATTATATGTCTTATCCCACAACTTTGAGATTAAATGATTTAATTAAATTGTAAAAGCACATGAAAATAGTAACAGTTTAATTTTCTTTATGACACCATAGAAAGCTAATTAGGTTAGTCTTTCTGTAACTTCAGTTATTTGCATATCCCCTCAAGGTTTTTGCCATATTTATGTACCACCTCCACTATCATTTAATGCATTTTTCTTCATATAGATACATGTACTAACATAATAAATACATGTATATGTATTCTTTGTAAAAATACATTCCTTGTATATATGAGTGTAAATATACATGTGCATATATAATCTTTGGATATTTTAATTGACTTACTATTTCACTTAAATCAATTTTTAAAGCAAAACCACTACAGTAAATGGAAAAAAAGTATTACTTGCTAAAAATAGATGGTAACCTTAGAGATATACAGTAATATCTTGGTTTGCGAGCATAATTTGTTCTGGAAACAAACTACTCGTATTGCAAGATATCGCTCGTTTACCACATTAAAACGTATTAGAAATGTTGGCTCGTCTTGCGGAACACTTGCAAACCACGTTATTCGCAATCCAAGGTTTTACTGCACTATAAATGTTAGTAAATTTAGCTAAATTTTTGCTCTCATTGGAGTTTTTGAGCCACAGGCTCACTCTTTGTTAGAAAGGGAGGTCAACAAGAATTAGAATGGTCATATAGGCACCAGAATGAGAACATCACTTTCACCTGAGCAGAAGGATAAAAAGACCATTGAAAATGCAACTGCTTTCTCACTATGTGATTCCAATTGATTTCCTGCTATGTTCACGACTATTGAAAATCAATTTGTGTACCATCAGCTTGCATCAGTTGGGAAAGATCAGATGATCTTTACGGTTTCTTTCTGCTTGTTTTTTAACCATATTAATTCACTCCCTTCTCCAATATCGGTTGGTGGCTTATCTTCCAGGCTTTTAAAATACAATTATAAAATTGCATTTTATGCATGTGCATATATGTACCTATAGAAAATACTATCTAGAGTATTTTTGTGGCATTATATGATGTATGTAGGTTGCATATGTGACATCACACTTTTTATATAGCTCTGAGTTTTTTTCCATGACATATGGATCTAACAGTCAGCGGTTCTCAACCTATGGGTCGCGACCCCTTTGGGGGTGGAACGACCCTTTCACAGGGGTTGCCTAAGACCATCAGAAAACAAAAAGATATTTACATTATGATTCATAACGGTAGCAAAATTACAGTTATAGAGTAGCAACGAAAATAAAATTATGGTTGGGGGTCACCACAACATGAGGAACTGTATTAAGGGGTCGCAGCATTTGGAAGGTTGAAAACCGCTGATTCTTAGTGAGTAGCATAGTATCTGAATCATGGAAACATAAAAGTTTGTTTACCCATTCTTCCACCACTAGGAATGTAGGGGGTTTCCCCACAATTTTTTGCTGTTTAGACAATACTGCAATTAATAACCTTAAACATCCTTAAGTATAAACATTAATATTTAAGTGCAAATGTTAACATGTAAGATAGCAACAAGTAGGACTATAAATGAAATTTGATAGATATGCAGATACACTGTCAAATTACGCTCCAGAAAAGCTTTGTCAGTTTATTCATCTGCCAAGCATTTAAGAGGGTCCCTGTCAGCCTTAGTCAATACCTGATATTGTCAAACTATGCTTTTACCAACCTGATTGGTAAAATTAATACCTGACTCTTCTTTTCATTTTCATTGCCTTTAAAATTACCATGATTGAGCATCTTTTCATAATGTGTGTCCATTTCCATTTTATCTCAAGGCAACTACTTATTTTACTCAGTTTTTGATGGGGTTTCATGCATATATTTTTCTCTTTAATTTACAGAAATTCTTTATGTACTTGTACATCTTTGGCTGTTACAGATGATGCAAATATTTTCCCCCGGTGTGGCAGACACTGTTGGTTGACTACCAAAGTGTCTTTCCTGACTCCTTTCTCCATTTTACTTCTCCTACTATAAAGGCTTGACAAGACAGAGATTTGCTTTCCCAGCCTCCTCTGCAGCTAGGAGTGGGCATGTTAGCCAGTTTGAGCCATTTTGATCAAGAAGCAATAAGCCAAAGAAAAGCAAATTGGGAAGCTGGGACAATCTTGGCCCTTTATAAAGTTGTTGAGCAGCCCCGTTTCCCTTGGGGCCATCCCCCTCTAAATCATTTGTTGAGCAAACAGTGAACGTCCAAATGTCCTAGTTGGTTATTATACCACTGTGTTAGTCAAATTTTCTGTTTCTTGCAGCAAGCCCAGTGCATCCCAAATAACATACCCAGTTTGGCACAACTCTTTAATTTTTTTGCACATTTTAAATGATTTGACTCATAGATATTCATGCCAGAGGCGCCATGTCTAAGAGCCAGAGACCGTTTTACATTTTTAACTTATTTTCCATCTTATCCCTAACCCTCATGACTGAGCACATGACAAAAATTTAACATTTTTGTGGATGTAAAATTCCATTCTTTTAATAAGAAAGGGTTGGTCCAGGCAAAGGGAATATAGTTCCTTCGCTCCTATCTCCCTACAGCTCTTCTCTAGTTTTGTTGGCACGTAAGAATATCATGCAAATTGTTGAATGAAAAGATAATCTCAACTATGTTAATCATCAGTCAGGGTTTATGACCTACTGTTTGGGGTACTACTGCTTTGTAAATAGTTTATTATACTTTAAGTATCTAAAATTGTCAATAGCTTTCCTCAGGTTTACATGTTCTTTCCCAACAATTCAGAGCTCACCCTTCTTTTTCACTCCTTTGCTGCTTTTTGCTCCTTACAAAGTCTGACTCTTAGGTCATATGTAAATGTTTTATAACTTGCTCCAGCAGTACTGCAAATTTAAAAAACCTGAAATCCCTCCAGCAAAAAAAAGCTTATTAATGTTGTTTAAAATAAAACAAACATTATTGTAATTAAGAGCTGCATCCTTAAGTACCAGGAATGAAGAAGAAATAAGAAACCAGATCAACCCAGGCATGTGTACTGAGACTGCCCTGGGAGCAGATGGGGAAGATGGTTGAGGTTTGCTGCAAAGCTTGTATTTCATAGGCCACACAAGGCAACGAAATGTGAACGTGGGCCGATGATAGGTGGGGGAAGGGTAGAATATGAAACATTCATTAAACTTGAAGAACTTAAAGGGCTGCACTCTGAATAAGCTAGAAAAAAAATATGACCCACTAGCAGGTAGATAACCAAGATGCTGTTTTCACGTTAGCTATGGGAGGGGTAGGAAATGTCTCCTCTAAGAAATATTACCCAGGTGCTGATTCTCATACAATCCAGAGACTAGAATTCACACTGCTTGTGAGGATCAAACAAAACTCCCAAGTTGATCCTTTAAGGCAGTTTTCCTGTGATTATATACTCAGAAGCTTAGCAGAGGCAGGCACAGATAGTCTCTGGAGGAATATAGTTCAAAAACAGGTTCAAAATATTCCCAGAGATAATTTCAAGTAATATTAATATGAACTCAAATATACGCCAAAAAGAAATATCACACAATATACATGGAAACAAGATAACGTGAGTAAAATCAGCAGAAACAAACAGCAGAATCAGAACCACATACACTGCAGATATTGAAATTATCACATTATCAGATAAAAAATATAAACTATATTTAACATATGTAAAGAAAAAATAGTTTTGAAAGTGTTACAAAAGAAGAAGAGACTATACAAATAGTCAGGAGGTTTGAAAGGAACCAGATATAACTTCTAGATACGCTGAACATAATATCAAAATCATAAACACAATGGATAGGTTAAATGGCATATTAAACATAGCTAAAAACAGAGTATACCAGGAGGCAACATTGAAGAAATTACACAAAATGAAGCCTGGAGACACAAATAAAAAATAAATAGGAGACGTTAAGAGACATGAGAGTAAAATGAGAAGTTATAAAGTAAACTCTAGTTAGAGTTTCAGAAAACCATAATAGAGATGATAGAAGAGAGGCAATATTCAAAGAGATACTGAGAAAACTCCAAATTTAGTGAGAACAGTGGTATTCAAATTCATGAAGTCCCAAATTTCCCCAAATGGTAAAACAACAATTATCAAAAATCCACACCAAAAGACAAAGGGATCTTGAAAGCAACCAGGGAGAAAAAGATTTCTCACAGGATGACAATTAATTCGGCTGACAGATGACTTTCAATAGCAATAATGGAAGGTGTGAAACAGTGTAACAGTATCTACAAAGTGCTCAGAGATAATGATTTATAAGCTAGCACTGTACTCCCAGTTGTATTAGTTTGGAACGTAGTCTGAATGCTTTAGTCAAGGTCAATACTAAAACTTTTAAGCAAGATAGGAGGTTTATTGTTTTCTTATAGTAAAATCTGAGTTGATAACTGGTCCAGTGTAGTAGAGTAGCTTTACCATGTAAGGCAATGTGAGATCCTGATTGCTTCCATCTTATTACTATAATATGCCCTAGAACATTGCTTATCACCATGAACTCACTACCACAGGTTCCCATTCTAGTCTGTTGAGAAGGGTGAGAACAGTTAAGGAGAGCATTTGGTTTTCATTTAAGAACTACATCCAGAGTGACTACACATACGTTTTCTCTCATTGGTCATAAGATCATACCTACATGCATAGATGTTAAGAAACCAAGCCCCAGGTGGCCATTTGGTTCAGTTGGTTAGAGCGCAGTGTTCATAACACCAAGGTTGCCGGTTCGATGCCCACATGGGCCACTGTGAGCTGCGCCCTCCACAACTAGATTCAAGACAATGACTGGACTTAAAGCTGATGGGTAATGTTAAAAAAAAAAAAAAAGAAAGAAAGAAAGAAATCAAGCCCCTAGCTGAATGGCCATGTGCTTGGTTCTACTATTAAAAAGAAGCAGTGCCAGTGAATATGGGGGGCAATCAGCAATCTCTGTAACAATCATCAAAACTATCATTTGATAACATGGGAAATAAAAGCATTTTCAGAGGAACAAAAACTGAAAATTTACTACCAGTAGACTCCCATTAGAGGAATATCCAAAGAGTATACTGTAGAAAAAATAAAAACGATACCAGAGAACATTGTAAGCAAAGAAAGAGCAGATAGATAGGCAGTCTTAACACAGTAATTTATAACAAGAAATAAAAATAAGACGTCTAATATCTGATTATTAAAAAAATATATAAAATACTGAGTAGCAACAGCAGGTAAATTATAAAAAGAATGATCCAAAAAAAAAAAAAACCCAAAAGTTCCAAGAATATCATGTTGGCTAAAAGAAGGGTAGAAATTTTTATTCTTTTTATTTTTTCAATACAATTATGTCTGGTAAAATTTCTAGGTTAATTATTAAAAGAACATATATAGAGAGTGTAATTTTCAAATTAGTGGAGGGGAAAAGAATAAGAAAGAGAATAAAAGCAAAAAGCCAAAAACGGCAAATAAAGAAAACCTCAATCAACAAAGAAAGCCATATACAGAAGGTGCCAAAAAATGTATACACATTTTAAGAATGAAAAACTATTAAAACTGTAATATATACCGATAACAAAAGATGAATACAAGTCACGTTAGACTTTTGCAATTATAAGAGATGCTCAAAGTGGTTACCATCAGTGTCCAGACACTTCTGATTACGGCGAACTACTGCTTGAGCAACATTGACCAAAGTGTCTACCTGTATACATTTTTTGGCACCCCCACTACATATATATATTGGGACAAATAAAAGGAACAATTAATGTGATTGATATAGGAATATAAATGTGTTAAACAGATTAATTATCACAAACAACAGAATGGACTAAACTCTAAAAGGAAAAGATTATAAAACCAGATTTAAAAGAAGTCTAGGCATATGCTATTGAGAGACACATCTAAAATACAAAGACACGGAAAGGTTAACATTAAAAGGATGAAGAAAATATATACCAGGAAAATAATCAAAAAGAGAAATGTTGACATAGCAAGTCACTAGGAAGATAATTGTTCTAAACTTTTGGAGGTATTTATAACACAGTCTGTATATAATGGAGAATTAGAAACAGAATTTGACAAATTGACAAATGGAATAGATTTTAAATATCTATCTCAGTAACCAAAAGATAAAGAATTAATGAAGATAAAGAAGATTCTAACATAATTTACGATTTGATTTACTGGGTGCTTATATTTAAAATTCTAAACACCACCATTAGAGAAGACACATTCTTCTAAAGCCTACATGGAAAAATCTGTAACACTTGAGAAAATGCCACAAAGCAAATGTCAAAGAATCAACAAATGTCAAAGAATTGGTACTATACAGACTATCTTCCATGATAAAGTGCAATAAAATCAGTACGCCAACAAGAAAAAGACAAAAATTGCACATATGATTCAAAACATAAAAAGACACTTCTAAATAAGTCATGGACAAAAGAAAAAATAAAGAAAAATACAAAAGACAACAGCTCACAGGAATACTAAATTTGACTACGTTAGAACTAAAATTTCTAGACAATATAAATTCCTATAAACAACAACAAGCAATCCATAGGCCAGGAAAAGATATTTGTGAATCGTATCATTAATGAAGGAACAGTGTCCAAAATACATAAAACCACATACAAACCAATGAGAAAAAACCTGCACAAAAAAACCCCAAACACCAGCAAAATTTATAAACAGGTATTTATATATGAGAAAAAACCCAAATGGCCCAGAGACAAATCTCACTAGCAGGGAAGGAATGTCCTATGTAAAAGAACAATGGGCCGTCCGCTGTTCCCCTTCTTCAATTCCCCAATAAAAAAAAATCCTAAAAAAAATAAAAAAGAACAACGACACAGGGTTTTACAATCACCAGATAAGGAAGACACTCGTGTCTGAAATCACCAGGGCTTGCTGGCGAGACGGCAGGGGAACCAGACCTCTTATACAGAGTCTGGGGGAGAGGATAGTGAGATAACCACCTTGAAAAGCAACCTGGGGTTTCTTCGTGAAGTTGAAGATGCACCTTCCTCATCTTCCAACAAATCTAATTCTAAGGGCTATTGAGAGACCACCTGCTCATGCTTGCAAAGAGACATACGAAGGATGTTCACTGTACTAATACTGTAGTAGGGAAATGCTCCGCAGTAATGGATCCATAAATTGTCATTTATATAATGGAGTATCTTACAGCAGATACAATGAATAAACTAAACAACGTGCGTTAACTTTGATAAAGCTCAAAGGCATACTTTAGGGTGAAAAAAAGCAAGCTGTGCACAGTTAAAAATAACTGCTTTCAATTCCCAGATTAAGCTTAAGATAACTCCTTACATTTGACTCAAGTTTTATAATACACAGAATACTTATATACTTACTATCCTGTGTATTTCTCACAAGGCCAGTGAAAGAGGTGGGTGCTATTTTATATATGAGAAAATGGAGGTTCACACTGGTTCAGGGACCTCCTAGTCTTATGATTTAAATTCAATGCTTTTACCATTGCTCCACACTTGTTTCTTTGGGATAAAGAGTCTTTTGTTTAAAAAAAAAAAAAGTATTTGGGTACTACATCCATAGCTTGAAAGCATGTTGTATGTGCCAAAGATAAAGGAGAAACTGCTGGGATATATTTCAGATGCATTCAGCAAGTTCTCTTTCTTTTTGTTCAGTTCAGGAAATGTGGTGCCCAAGTGAAGGAAAATTCTGTTGGTGGTGGTGCCAACCTGGAGTGAACTCTCGAGCCTCGAGCCAGCTGTCGGCGTGGGCTATCTCCTGCACTCACGCTGACTGGGCCCCGCCGCCTCTGGCAAGCCAGCGTGCAAGGACTGCTCAGGCATCAGGATATCCCTCCTGCAAGGTCTGGGCTTCTTATTTGCTTCTGCATCTGATCCCTGTTTTCTGTGTCTTTCTGCCTTGATACATTTGCCATTTTCTAACCACAGACCAGCTATACATACATATATACATGCATATAAATATATGTTACATATGTAATACTTACCTTAAAGAAACACTGACAATCCCAGTTTAGCAGGTTAGATATAAAATGAACATTTAAACATATTACAAAAGATTTATCATGGTAAATTCAAAGACTAGAGTAGTGCAGTTATACATGTTTTATATTTTACAAAAATGCTTTCTTTCTCTCTCTCCTTTCCTCCTTTCTTTCTTCCTCCTCCCCTCTCCCCTCCATTCCTCCTTCCATTCATCCCCCATTCTTTTATGTAGGAAATTTTCAGTCAGTGGTGGAGAATCTCATTCTCAGATGAGCTACTTTTCCCTGGTAAATTTGAAATCTTTTCTTCACATATAAATTTTGATACAGAATGGGCAAAGGGAGGTAGAAGCAGAAGGCCAATGTTTGAAACGCTGACACTGAGAATAAATCACAAGACTTTAAAGGGAAGAGTTTGAATATACACAATATGAGAGACAGTCTGGCATAGGGGTTAAGAGCATCGTCTATTGGAGCCATGGAGACCCAGATATGAAGAGCAGCTCCTCCAAGCTGTGTCCTCTAGGCAAGTTACTTACCATCTCTGTGCTTC